TATATTATACCAAAAGTGACAGTAAAGCCAGATTTAATTTTTAAATAAATACTGTTCTTTTGAACTGTCTATTCATTATGATTTTCTCAAAGCAACACTTGTTTGAAAACAGCAGCAATTGTAAAAAAATACTTTGCAGCATTACTATATTTAATAAAATGAATGAGCCCAATACCGACCTAGCCCAATACTATTAACAATAGTATATACATACAAGGTCCTATTCTTCATTGATTTTGGTGTGAAACGTGACCCGGAAATGTTTTCGTGAGATTCACTCCTTAGGTACTTAGTTAAACAAAATCAATTATCTGCATTTTGATGCAATGCCAAGTTGTGCCTCCTACATCAACATGCTCTCTCACCTCCATCTGTTGTCTGCATTCAGGAAGGTGCAAATCAATTGCTCGAGCAGAGAAAAGCAGACACAGTGTTCTATGCTGTTCTCGTCTAAATCCCTCCATACTTCCTGTTGCGGCGAGACCTCATAGGCAGCTTCATTGTGTAATGCAGAATAGCTTGCATTAGTTCTATTGCGATGCAGTACAGTTATTATGATGAAAGAATGTGGCTTTCTTTCCTTAAGTGAACCTCGCAGAAATGTTCTGGCCCATATAGACAGATGACAGCACAAACAAGTAAATTCTAACACTATATGGCATCCCATTTCCATCTTCCCTGAATGGCACAGCGTCTGGTGCGATAGGTGAAAGCGAGCAGTCATTTAAACCATTCAGACTGCAGATCAGGTACTCAAAGTCATTTGAGTACCTGCATTCATTGCTTCAGTGAGCATTCATTGCTTCACTCACACTCCAAAATCACTCCATTCAGATGGTCTGTGGCATTTTACAGTAGAGCAGAAGGCCACTCTCACTCACAGACTTACAGAAGACCGCAGTCACATGAGAGCCACTCATCTATAGAGGCAATCATTCTAGCGGAAGGTGGGTGAACAAAGCTGTACAAAGTGTATTGTGGGCGATACCGGTTAGAGATGCTACGCAAACGTTCCTCCTCATCAATCCTCAAGAACACTTGCTGGTGTCATATGGGTCGCTCTCGCTTCAGAAAGCAGCATGATTACACTGATAGTAGATGTTCCCACCTCTTGAATAAAACACTAATCATTTTACCTCCGTTTAAAGAGCTGTAACGGAAGCATCACTTCCCTAAATGTGGCATAACTGTCAGAATGAGAACATTTCTTTTATTTCATAATGCACTGTTTATTTTGCGGTAATGTTACATGAGAGAAAATGTTGAGAGTAGCAACATGCTGTGCATTGAAATTGCTTACATTGCAACAAGTTGTTTTTAATATCCAGATTAAATCTTTAATGGCTAAATCTAGTTTAACGGTAAGTTACAGGGAATCGTCTGTGAATTAAACAAGGACAAACAAGCGAGGCTTTATCCCACAATAACAACACTTGGGCTGAGTACGGCTCTCACATAGAAAGTTCAAGTGATTCATGGCTCCTTCAAAGACATGGATACTGGTCCTGTTACGCTGCAAATCCGTAATTTGTAAACATCCTCTCGATGTTCGTAAAGACACAGATAAATATATCACATCTCAGATAAAACAGCAAAGTAATAATTCATATTTTTTTCACACAAGTGGACATAATGGAGTCTGAGTACAAAAGCCTGCACATATCCATGTTGTAGGCAAGACCAAATTTGAGATTTACGACTGAGATCAGAAGAGGGTGGAGTTTAATCCAGGAGAAAGACCAGAAGAGGAATGAATCTATCCACATGCTCCTGAGTCCATGGCAAGACCAAAACCAGTCTTGAGGACCAAGATCAAAACCATGAATAAATTATCTTGGACTTGGACTCAAGGACCAAAACCATGAAAATATAATCTTGGACTTGGACTCAAGGACCAAGATGCAAATATTTTCTTAGACTCAGATTCAAAAATAAAAATATGGTCTTTGGCTTGTTTTTGAGGACCAAGACCAATACCAAAACCATGAAAATATAGTCTTGGACTTGGATTCAAGGAACAAAGCAAAAACCATGAAAATATATTCTTAGACTCAGATTCAAAGACCAATACCAAAAATATGGTCTTGGACTCGTACCTGAGGACCAAGACCAATACCAAAACCATAAAAACATAGCCTTGGACTCGGATTTGAGGAACAAGGGCAAAACCATAAAAATATGGTCTTAGACTCAGACTAAAAGCATATTGTCATGGTATTGGTCATGAACTCAGGAGCGTGTGAACTTGTCCTTGACTTGGATTTGACCCTCTTCTGGTCTCTGTCATGACTTGGACAAATGAATTGGGCTTAACTAGACACGGTCATACAGTGGCTAATTCACTAAACAATAACTTTTGTAATACACAGTATGTCGGCACAAAAACAGCATCTCAAACAGCCACAATCCAGTTTAACTAGGCTCTATATGCAATAAAAAGTGCTGCAGCATCAGTATTGTCAGTACACGTCATTGTTTTCTATGTAAATTAAGCTTATTATACAGTAGATACGCTTTACTCACAAAACTTGGTGCAATTTGCCTATTACCACCTGCAGAAAAGCAAGCGGTTTGCAGACACGGTGGCAGTTATTTGTAAAAAAGTTAGTTCAGGTGTCTGGATCACAGTGCTGGAGCACGCCAGATTGTAAAGCCTGCCGGACCCTCCACAACTTAACAACATGAACACATCCACAAGATTGTGCCCATGCTGTCAACGCAAACAATTTGGGAGAGTTTGTGATGGTCACTGATTTGTACAATTCCTGAATGGGTTCAAAAACAGTGTGTACGCTATAAAATGCAAGTCTGTTTTCAAAGATCTGAGGTTGGTTTTAACCCAAGTTGGTTACTCTTGTCTTCCATTGGGAATCAACAAGATGGCTTCCTCTCACCTGTGTCTGCTTGTTTTTCCAACAGAACAACCTCATATCTTCCCTTACTCCATTACTGGCCAAAACATAGAGCACTGGGTCCACCACGCTGTTCAGGCTGGATAGCGCGAGGGAGCAAGTGAAGGGCAAATACATCGCTTGTTCAAAACTGCAGGTTTGTTTATCTCCCAAATAAAAGAAGGTGATGGACCTCACCATCAGGAGGATATGGTATGGCGCAAAGCAGAAGGAGAAAATGCCAATGACCCCCATAGACAGAATCTTCACTTTGCGCTTGCCTTGATCATCCACCCCTCTGCTTTGCTGCACCTTGGTTGGGATCAACCAGTAGCAGACGGAGATGACCACCAGAGGCAAGAGGAAACCAATTCCGACCCGTATCAGGTTGAACATCGCAATGCGTTCCGTCATGGGGAAGGTCTCGTAGCACGTTTGCTCCGTGTCATCCAGTGGATCCGATAACTTGTCCAGGTACAGCACCAAAGAGTGCAAGGCCATGACGAAAACATAGACCAGCCCACAGATGATCCAGGCATAGCGCTGCCGGCGGAAGACTTGGACTCTCAGCGGGAAGGTGATGGCCAGGCAGCGATCGATGGAGATACAGCAGAGGAGATAGATGCTGATGTACAGGTTGGAGTAGTAAAAGAAACCAGCCAGACTACAGAGTCCTTGGCCGAGGTTCCATTTGTGGTTGTTGTTGAAATAATAGACCCACAGAGGCATGGTGAGGATGTACAGGAGATCCGAGAAGGACAAACTGAGCAAGTAGATCCCTAGAACATTCCTTCTGCAGATCTGCTGAATTATGGGCCCGATGGTGATCAGGTTGAACAGCAGCCCCAAGATGAAGGCAATGATGTAGATAGATATCAGCAGGTGACCTGCTGCCTGGGTCATGATCACACATGATGGGTTGCTTGTGTTGTATGTTGCGTTCATCATAATCTGTGCGCACAAAGAAAGAAATGCACTAATAAATATCTGCATCAGAAATGTCCATAGTTTATAAAAATTCATTAATTCTCAATTCTGCATGTAGTTGTGATTCTAGATCGTGTTTGCCCTCTCAAAGATCAAACTCAATTGAATTTGAGTTGATTTGAATTATAATTCAGTTGAAAATGGTGCACAACCCTGATGTAAATAGGTGGGAAATTTACCAGTTATTGCATAATTTACCATACTTTAACTTAGTAGTCAGACCTTGGCAACCACCACAAATGCAACTATGGATGGCTCCTTAACAGACTGTGTAGTACAGGAATTTACACTATTACAAAATATCCTAGTGGCTGCATTTAGTGTTGCTTGAGTAAAATTATGGTGAAATGTATACACTTTATTTTGCAGTGTCCTTGTTACAGTGTAATTGTGCAGCAGTAAGTTTAACTACTGAGTAATACTAACAACGTGTTTACTAGTTATGGTTAAGAGTTAAACTTTATTTATGTATACGTACTTACAGTGTACTTACCTAAGAAAGTCCTGGATAATATAAGGTAACTAAATGGGTTAAGGGTATGTTTAGGTGTAGGTTCAGGGTTATTACCTAGTTATTACCCAGTTATTGTAATTATAACAAGTATATAGTACCGTGTATGTACATGTGGGGTTATTGCATGTAATTATGCAAAATGTACGATTACTATTATTGTAAGTACATGTAACTTGTGTTTCAAGGACACTGCAATAAAGTGTTACCAAGTTTCATAAGCATTATTAAAGCTCTAGTCTAACCAAGCTGTTTTGACTAATAATCATTCCCAGGATATGATTTTTTGATATCAACAATTCAATGTTCACTTAAAATGTGAATTCTTGATATCAGGAATGGAATTTTCACTAATAAAAATGTGAATTCTTGATATCAACAATGACATATTCACTCGCAGAAATCAAATTATTGATATCAAGAATTACATTTAGTGAAAAAAACGTAATTCTTGATATTTGTAATTGCATTTTCACTAGTTGACATTTGTAGTGTTATGTCATAATATTCAAGCATACAGCTGTTGTCAGTTTGCATGACAGATCAGGACTTTCTGCGCATGTGAAAGAGTGGTAAACCATTGACCTTTAGGTTTCAAAATTTGAACACACATTATGATACGGTTAAACTTGGCTTGACGTTTTTGCTGTTGATTGTTGTTGATGCAGATGTTGTCATGGTGCAAAATGTAGTAATGTTTTAAAAGTCCTTTCTAGATTAATCTAGATGTTAATTATAATTGTCATATGTCAAATATTGAACTACTGAAAGTGTGGCTCAGACAATGTACTGATTTATCTACTCAGAATTTACTTTGCAGATTAGGCACATAACCAAAAATGTCAATGGCAACTCCAAATGAAAACAACACATTTCCGGTTGCTGCAAGTTGCAGAATGTCTGTGGTTTCAAAGAAAAGTGAACAACCTGATGCACAAAACTTTTCCTTTTACTTCTTATTAAGGCAAGGTGTAATGGTTAACCAGCCAAGACGAACATCAATGAGTCACTGAAAGCATTTTAGATTAACAACACCTGCACTTCAAATACAACGCACTGCTATATATATATATATATATATATATATATATATATAGCTAGACACATTTGTTGCTTATTTTATATACAAAAGCAACATTTTACACACCTACACATCTCTTCACATACACACCACAGTCCCTTACAAATCAAGGTTGCAAAGTCACAAAAGTTTGCAAAGTCATTCTTATCAGAAATTAACAGCTTGCAGGAAGCCTGGTAATTAATTTAAAATTAAACAAGTAGCAAAATGTCATCCCCAGTACTATTGGCTTCATGTGCCATGATTACGATGGAGAATCAAACTTGACAAAAAAAAATAAAAAGAGAATAGAATAGAATAGAACAGAACAGAAATAATTATAATAATAGTCCACAGAGAAGGTTTCATATTTGCTTGTATCTAAACGCATAAGTATTGCAAAAATATTGAATTCAGATGGATGAAGGTAATCTGCTACCTCTGTATATATATTATGATACGTTTTTGATATTAAAGGCAAAATTCATGGCTGAGCAAACGTGTTTTTGAGCCGACGGGGGAAAGAAAAGTTTTGTAAAATGTGTCTGGACTGAGTTTATAATGGATTTAAGCCTTGGCTCTGTTTTTGAAAGCATTCCAACAACTTTTGCCTCAGATCTTGGAGATCATCGATATTTGTAGGCAGAGCCTTTACATCTGTTCATATGCCGCACATATGGCATGTTTTTTCTCCATTCACACGAGTGGCAAGCCTTACACTTTGAAATCTCTTTGAAAGACGCATTTTACAATTTCCAAAAGAAAAAAGAAAAAACAACAACAAATGCCAATAAGGTTCACATCAGTTCATTTCACATCTAGCTACTACAGCTCTCTCATCACTACCTGCATATCCCCTATATTCCATTGAGTTCATCTTCAGTGCTATTGCTAAACTTGTTTTTAACCTTTGGAGAGTCTTTTCACTTGCTGCCAGTCTTTGCTCAAATTCATTTCAAGACACTGTTGCCGTCTTACACAGCTGCTTGGTCTCCACATGAAGGGTTTTGCAGCCCCTTAATTCTTACTCTTCAGTGCAAGACCAGTGAGAAAATCAAACAGCCCCACCACAGTCAAAGAAAGACCTTAGTTTCACCTCATCGAAAAGCCTTATAGCTGCACTTGAACTATTAATATCCTGTTCTTGCTTTTAAGACGAGCATCATAGTATTGCTCATATGCATGGACTGTATATCCCTGATCTTAAATATAACATTTTGATGCAAAACTCATCTTGTTCCATTTCTAATACAGACTTGAATGATACATCAAATTATGTGGCTTGCAATGTCTAATTTGTAAATGAATCAGTCTTCTGAGTCAGATCTGTTCAATGAATTGTTTTGAACCTCAAAAAAACAGTTTATTTAAGATTTTTTTTGCAAATTGAAAACTGGTATGACCATTTTATTAGTGATGTCAAGCGATTAATCGCGATTAATCACATCCAAAATAAAAGTTTTTTGTTTACATAATATATGTTTGTGTACTGTTTATTATGTATATATAAATACACACACATACAGTATATATTTTGAAAATATGTACATGTATTCACATGTATATATTTATTTAATTTATATTATATTATATAATAATTATAAATAATATATAAACATAACATTTTTCTGAAATATATACATGCATGTGTGTGTATTTTTATATACATAATAAATATACACAGTACACACACATATATTATGTAAACAAAAACTTTTATTTTGGATGCGATTAATCGCGATTTATCGTTTGACAGCGCTACATTTTATCAACATGCATATGAATTAAATTTTCATATGTATTTAAAGATATACTAAACATTTTCATCTGAAATAAGTATATTGTTTTTAATTGTAACGTAAATTATGGTAATACGATAAAAATTATGGTAATATTATAAAATTTTGATAGTCCACTTTAGACATTCTACTAACTATAAGCAACTTTGCAACTGCATGTCGTTATTCTACTACTTAACCCTAACACTTACTAATACTCTAAAGAGAGTTAGTTGACAAAGTTGGAAAGTTACTTATAGTTAGAAAAATGTCTAAAGTGGACTATCAGAATAAATAGTAACCAAAATTATATTTTAAAGAATTAACTGAAATGTGCACACAAAACACCCTTATTTACAGTATATGTATTAAATATGGCTTTATTTTGGAACATGTGATGTGGCAGGGACCACATGATGACATATCGAATATCTGAATCATTTGTTTTTTCTCCAGTTCTTTGTAGTTTAACTGATCGTAACATCTCATTCACAGAATGAGTCAGCCTCCTGATAGTGTGTGTGTGTGTGTGTGTGTGTGTGGTTTATTGAGGAGAGGTTGCTAATATTTTAAAGTGAGCTGATTTATTTTCACATGAGAAACTAAACATTATCTCAAGATCAAAATGGCATGGGGACTGTGGTGGGCAAACAGGGTGGGCTCATTTGATTTGGACCAGGAAGCAAAACAACTACTCATAACACCGTGGCAACATGGGGGACTCCACACAGGAAAACACCTCTACTCTCAGCTGCCAGTCCTGGTACAGTACGTGCAGTAATGTGTTTTGTGTAATGTCGGCAAGCATGTGCTAAGAACAAAATGTGATCTGGAGAGATGTCAAGATTAAAATAAACAGATCCAAATCATATTAATGTAGAGTTTTGTTTGCAAGTAGGGATAGATCACCCAAACATGAAAGTTGATGGCAGTGTTGGGAAGGTTACTTTGGAGATGTAATAGGTTACAGATTACAAATGTCTAGGGGTTGCACAGACTAATCGACTAGTCGACTTCAATGCTCTGCTATGATGCTTTAAGCTTGACGTTGACATTTACTCTCAGTTTCCAAACAGTTAAAATGATAAATAAATGCATACTCTGAAAGCGCTCCACAAGACGTGTGATTATATTACTGGATGCTCGAAAAACTGAACGGGAGAATGCACATTTTAAACAACATATTGTACAGGTAAGTTATCTCGCCGTTCTAATCTAATGCGCTGCTGCACTGTAACGCACACACATAGGCTACAGACAGTAGCTCGTAAATCATGCGCAGATCGCGAGCACACAGAATCATTCAGCGCGGAAATGTATTGTCAACACTAGTCGACTTCGACTGGACTTTCATCAAATAAAGTCGACTTTAAAAAAAAATCTGAAGTCGTTCAACCCCTACAAATTACCCTATTTAAAGGGGTCATATGATGCGATTTTAATTTTTCCTTTCTCTTTGGAGTGTTACAAGCTCTTGGTGCATAAAGAAGATCTGTAAAGTTGCAAAGACTAAAGTCTCAAATCCAAAGACGTTTCAGAAAGGCGGGGCATAGAGGAGAAACAATAATGTACAGTATGTGGAAAATAATGTGTTTTTTTAACCTTAAACCGCATA